TGGAAGAGATAAATATATTTGGCCATTTTGTATAAAAGAAGAGAATCCTTTAAACCTCTAAACAAATGGAGGCGCATTAAGTTTAAATGGTTTATGAAAACAAAGCCAATGCCAAAGAATTCCGCTGGGTCATTAAGTGAAACAATAAAGAGAACAATTTTCTTCTACTTGATCAACAATAAAACAGGTCTGTGGCTTTAAAATTTAATAACCCCACTTTAAAACTGCCAGTTTTAGCGCAATACTCATATTTGGTTACTTTATTTCTGCTAGTAAACGCCAGAGAGCATATATTTTTTGTTAAAAATACAATCAAAACAATAAATGGCAGGAACTAAGCGATGTTAAGAAAACATTTAAAAGTTTAAAAAAATGTTTTGTATTAACTAATATATCTTTCAAATTTCATAACAAGTTATTAAATAGGGAGTATTATTAATTCGTAAAATTCGGCATAATAATTATTATGCATTAAAATGCATACCTATTTCATTTATTGTAAAATTCGTGCAATATTTTATTACAAAATCGCGTTAACAACACATGTTCCTTTGTATTTCTTCAGTTCGTGAAATTTTTTAGGTATAATGTTTAATAACAAAACTTACAAATGTTAAAGTTAATATCAAGTTATAAATAAAAATCGGGAATAAATAATATACCTTGAGGAGATATGCCCCCTTTACTAAACATTCTGTGGGTTATTACTATACCGCGGAACTTTTCCAGCGATAACGTCAAAATGTTTACAAAAATCAGAGTTAAAAAAGTAAACACTTATCTTTATACATGTGCAAAAAATAACTATAATATCACAATATAATCATTTTTATGGAATCGCTGGAAAACTTCCGCGCTATAGTTATTACCATCCTAATTATTTAAAAAGATACCTAGGTCAAAGTCAAAAAGTCAATAAAGTAACATTTAAATCTAGAAAAAGCAGGTAACTAAGCATTTTAAGGTTGCGGGAAAGGTGTACTGTACCCCCTTCTTCATATCACGGCATATCACACCGTGTACAAGCGATTAAAGAAACATACTACCAGTGATATCAAAAATTTTGGAAATGCTACTCAAAAATAGATTATACAATTATCTCGAACGAAATGTTTTAAGCCCATATCAACACGGGTTTAGAAAAGGTAGATCTACTTTAACAGCAATGGTGGACATAATTGAAACAATTAATAACTTTTTAACAGCAAGCAAAAAGTACAACGTGGATGTCTTAATCTTATAGGTTTGTAAAAAAAACTGTAATTTTATGGAGTGCGGGAACCAGAATAGTATATTAAAGTACAAGTTGCAGAAGGCCACATATTCTCGCACGAATTCGAAATTTGGCCTCGAGCGACGAAGGAGCGAGTGGACGAACGAATGAGTGCGAGAATAGCCTTCTGCAACGTGTGATTTATACTATTTTCTCGATTTTAACTTTTATTTAGGTTTTTTTAATTGTTTTGTGGTCGTTGTTAGTTGGGGGATTTTTCTCGCAAAATGTCAGTTGGCAACACAAAATGACAATATTTGTTATCCTGCACAAGTACATTAAACTTAAAATTTTGCATTAAAATGCATTGTTGGAGCAAACTTAATATTACAAAACAATAATAAAAGCTTCATTTTCAATAAAAGTGTAGTTCAGGTTGCACTAGTGCAGGATAACAAACAAAGCTATTATAAATAATCCTTCTTCTTCTTCTTCTTCTTTAATTGTTATTCTCTCTTTCGAGAGAATTGGACTTGAGCCAATTAGGCTCTTACTGCCCAGTTACAAGTTTTAACGTCCTTGAGCTTCTCGAAGCCATCCACTCACGGACATGTGGAATTTCAAATCTTGAAACATCCACTACATCAATTGCACAAATCACAAAATTCCTCGCTGAAAGGACAAAGCTTGCGATATTGTCGAGAAATACCGGTATATTTCTATACCGGGAACCCCATTTTATCCTTCCTGGGTCAAAGTCAACTATTTTCAGACTTTTTCATGGAGCGATGTACACACGATGAAGGATAAAATCGAACTCGTACTTAAATAATCCTAAAATTAATGAATTTGAGGTTATTAAACAGTTTGACATTTTGGGGGTACCAATACTTAAAAACTAAATGTTACCAAAAATCGTTTAAGAATGAGCTTCATTCTTCAACGATTTTGCGTGCGAGAATATGACATTCTTACATAAAAATCGAGAAAATCATATTTTCAGCTCAAATTTAAAAAATCGACGGCAAGTTGTGGCATGGAATGGAGAAATATCTAAAGAAGCAAACATAAACATGGGAGTTCCACAAGGATCAATCTTAGGTACACTTCTTTTTATATTATACATAAATGACATTTATGTTAACAGGCAAATGGTCTACACACGGTGTGCCTGAACGAAGTTTAAGTCACATAAAAATGCCGCCAAAAACTGATTGCAGTTTCTTGTTCGGGACCCTTTGGTGACTTAAAAATGATATTTACCAAAATCCTAGCTGCTCCTCTTTTCGAAATTTTTTGAAAATTCATGATTTTTTTAAATTTTTGTTTATTTCAAAGTCCATCTTTGACAGAGTACACATTTGTACACCGATTTTTATAAAATTAGAGTATATTATTAAGAAGACTTTTTAATACTGTTCACATCATTTGATATATACAGGGTGAGCCAAATATCGCTTATTTTTAATAAAGCAAAAGCGTAAATTCATGATTTTGGCATAACACGCAAAAAAGATTTATCACCATTTCTTTTTAGATATTTCTACGTTTATCAGGTTACAAAATGGCATTCTAATTAACCTTTTATAAAAAAAAATAGTTTTTTAATAAAATTAAATAAAATATCGCTTAGAGAATATTTAAAATGTTGTTTAATTTAGGCTTTTTAGTAGTTTTCAATTTTAAACGAAAAACTGGTTAAAGTGTTTTGATCGGCACTCTTTGTAGATTTAAAAACCAAAATTCTAAGTGCTTTTTTTTTAATTTGTTAAAAAATCATTTTTTTATTAATTATTTGTTTATCGCAGTCTACCTTTGCCAGAGTACACATTTGTACAACGATTTTTATTGATTGCAATTTTTTCTTCGGGACCCTTTGGTAACTTTAAAATGATATTTACCAAAATCCTAGATGCTCATCTTTTCAAATTTTTTTGCTTTTTCTTTTTTTTTTTATTTTTGTTTATCTTACCTTTGACAGAGTACACCGATTTTCATAATATTGGAGTATATTGTTAACGAGACTTGGAGAATACTGTTTTCATACTGAGCACATTAGATTTATACAGGGTTAGCCAAAAATCACTTTTTTATATAGTAAAAAGCATGATGCACAAAAAAGATTTATCTCCAAAAATGTTATTTTATATAATTTTATTCAAAATCAATTTTTCTTATAAAGTCTTGATAAGAATCCCATTTTTTGGCCTGATAAACATAAAAATATCTAAAAAAACTCATAAATTTACGCTTTTGCTTTATTAAAAGAAGCAATTTTTGGCTAACCCTGAATATATTAAATGATGTGCACAGTATAAAAAAGTATTCTCCAAATCTCCTTAACAATATACTCAAATATTATAAAAATCGGTGTACAAATGTGTACTCTGTCAAAGGAACCCTTTAAGATAAACAAAAATTTAAAAAAAATAATGAATTTTCAAAAAAAATCGAAAAGAGGAGCAGCTAGGATTTTGGTAAATATCACTTTTAAGTCACCAAAGGGTTCCGAACAAGAAACTGCAATCAGAAAAAACACAAACAATAAAATATAACACAACCTATGTCGACCAAACACATATAAAAATATTGGGATTTTATCTGGACTGCCAACATAGCTGTCCAGAAAATTGTCAAAATCCATCTATTGTATTCGTAGAATAAAACATATCATAGATAATTATTATTATAATCAGGCTACAATAATTACCTACTACGCTCACTACCACAGCTTAATATCATATGGAATAATGATTTGGGGTGCATCAACAGAAGCTACTAAAATATTGCTCATACAAAAAAGAGCAATAAGAGCCATTGAAGGACTTGGTCAAATAACAAGCTGCAGGCCACTTTTCAAAAAGTTTAAAACACTTACCTTGCCAGCTATTTATATACTTACATGTTTAGTATATGTTCACTCGAATCAAAATTTCTACTTAGACAATTCTAGACATGAATATGAGACACGCCATAGAAAAAATTTGAACACACCACAAAATAGAATTGCTAGGACACAAAATTCTTTTAACCATTGGCGTATTTGGCTTAGCTAAATTAGCTAAGCCAAATACGCCAATGGTTAAAAGATTAAATATAGGCATATTAAATCATGTATTTTACTTCATCCTAGTCTGCAAGTTGGTTGAACCAACTTGGGTCATTTAATTCATCATTTAATTCATTTTCAGACATCCTTATGGTAATCATCGGGCATCGGGGCATCCAACCCATATTACTGACATCTATCCTTAAATTTTTATATTTCATTACTCTTAACCTCATAGTGTTTAGGTATTATTATAAAAAAAAACAGTAAATTTCAAAATGTGGTGGATATAACCCATATTTCCAAAAATACTAAAATTTTAATACAAATTCTCAATAATTTTCCTTAAGCTTTGGAAGAATTACCGTAACTAAGTATATTATTTATTTCAATGTTTTGTTATTTTGGTAAAAATGAATTTGCCTGCAGCTATTATTTAAGGAGCGTAGCTTTAAGTTTATTTCCAAAAAAATATTCTTCCAGGTACAAGCTTGTATAAAGCAAATTTAAAAACTGGCAGAAAAAAATGTGGTAACAGAAGATGTTCTGTTTGCTTAAATGATTAATGAATTATGAATAAAATGATCTATGCTAAAAAGTTGCTAAGAAATCAAGAAAAATGTTTAAGTTTAATAGGTATCTATGTTATAATTCAATACAATACAATGTTCTAAATTACAATGTTAAATTACAAAGTGAGCAAAAAACTACTAAAATAGTAAGTCTTGTTGAAATTACCTTCTTTCCTGGGATTGTACCCATGCACCTCGCAGTACGTGGTGGGTCCGGAACTGTGTCCCGGACTTCGAGAGCCGGAAGCCTGGACTGGTGGAAGAGGGTCCAAATAAAAAGTGGACGTAGACGGCGTCGCCTGGACTTCCGCGGTAACTATCGGCGCATGTACCGTATGCTGTCTACTCTGACACTTTGAGCAGCGATTCATTTCCGAGCGAACTCGCAACAACCAAACCAAACCGAACAGCGCCATGTCGATGGACCGCATCATGGAATGAACTCTTTTATTTTTGGAGGAGATTTCGTTCTCCCCATTTCTATGCCGAATATTTTAAACGTTATATGTTGTAAGGGTTATGTGATTTATTGTTTTAATAAAGAATGGGTATGGAAGATTTTATGCATTTGTTTGTTTTAAAACAATTTGTAGGTATGTTAAAAAGAATAAAATTACTATTTTTACATATAACTATACCTTCGATTTATGTTATTATTTATGCTACCCAACATTTTTATTGGCATTGCGATTATTTCGTCTCAATTTTGATTAATTTCGAGGGTGCCCCTTATTGGCATGCGGCGGCACCGATAGACAGCTTATTTTGCTCTTTTGGAGCGCATCAGTATCGGGTAGCTGTTTGATGTACTAACAAAATAATGGAAATAAATTTAACAAATTCGTTTGTTCTATGGTATAAATAATTAGATGACATTTTTATTTATAAAATTTATAAGGGTTATTTGTTGAGAGTTTTATTTCTTTAGTTTTTAGTGAATTATTTTTTTTCAAAAATATTAAATTTATATATTCTTTGGGAAACGACTAAAAAATGTCCACAGCTATACTTAATAATTTCCGGTAAATTTGGGATGCAAGTATTAACCAGTTAAAATAGATAATTTTTAAACACACTGTTTCAGTCTCTTGGTGGAATAATTTCATATGCAGAATAAATATAATTATAATCAATTTTATGCTGAAACAACGTAAGTTTTGTAGACATTCGAGAAAAACTGTTTATCGTGTGTTGAATTTAATTAAAATTCTATTTGCAATACTATAGGCATTTTTACTTTTTCTAGGCAGTAAACGCTACTGATTGCGATGACCAGTCAGAAAATGTAATAAATGCAAGCACTACTCCTACGTTTTGCATTTTTCATATTTAAATAAATCTATTAAAGTTAAAACATAAAAGGTCAAGGTTTCAAGGTTAATGCCAAGGCATGAGCACAATTCCGCGCGCGCCTTACATTTTAACTATAATAAGTTTATTTGAATATAAAAAATGCTCGGGCAATAGGAAAAGTAATCAAGCATAGTCTGTTTGCCTGCGTCATCAATTTCTTAACCAAACACAAACATCTGCACGCTGTGGAGCTGGCATTCGGTAATTCTATAATATTCGATTATATCCTAGATTGATGACGCAAATAAAACCGGTCCCACTCGACTGTAGAAACAAACACATAAAACATTATTCCACACTATTCGATAAACAAACAATTAGTTTATAAAATTAATGAAATAACCTAGTATTGTTTAACAACGCAATTGTGTTGATGCAAGGGTGGAACTAAAAAGATTCATGTCAGTAATTTATCTTCAGTATATGTTTTATACCGAAACAAAACTGAACTGAACTTTGAATTTGAATTAAATTGTATGGTGTCGAAACTTTACTTTGGGGAAATGTGTTAATTTGTAAGATGTTTAAAATTTAAGCTTGAAATTTTGGAAGCATATTCCAAGTTGCCCAAAAGAAAAATCAGTTTAAACTATGGAACCAAATATAGGATAGCAAATAAAAAGGTGTTCCCTAAATTATCAAATATATATTTCTAATGCCAATAAAAGGTGTTCCAATAAGATAGATATTGATGATTTAATTTGGCACATATTGCCGTATGTCAATTTAGTGTGAATATTTATCCTCTCTTTAAAGATTATAATTATTCATGGAATTTTCTCAACAAATAACAGTCGAGGTTCAATTGAGCAGGAATTGTTTGGACTTTTAACTCAAACTTGGTGAATTTTTAATTTGTCTCTAAGAAATTTTGGCGACAAAATTGTATCGCCCAAATTTCTTAAAGTCGAATTTAAGCGTCAAACCCCAAAGTTTTCGTGAAAAGTAAAAAATTATCCGATCGCCTAGTGGTATTACTTTCGATAACATAGTGACTGATAGCTTGACTGAATAAATGTTGACTTGGCTAATATTACTTTTATTTTATTATTTAACTTAAATAAACTTTTATACAAAGTATATAAGGCAAGTTTTTATTAAATGAAGAAGAAAATCAAAGACCTACTGCTATAGGAAGTCCTAGAAGGATAATTTCTAGTGTTTATTTCATCAGAATCATATTAATTTTTTGAATTTAAAAGTTGTAAACCAATTACAGTTATAATGCCTTCAAAAGTAAAACTTTTTGTATCGGAAATTGAAAATTGCAAATTAAGTTTACATTTATTTGTAATTAATTACTGATAAATATATTTAGGTACGCCTAGGGTTTAAAATTGCTTGGTAGCGTCTCCAAAATGTGTTATAGTTAACGCTTTTTTCTCGAAGACAATTTTTAATTTAATGGGTATTTATGTTTTTTGCATTGCCGTAAAAAATTGGCTAAATATTGACATACACTAAATTATTCCGGATACGTTTATATAGCAAAAAATGAGAAAAACAAAAATACATTAAATTAGTTTTTCAGTGTTATTTAAATATTTGTTATTTGTAGTTATTTAAAGATTTAGCTTTTTTGAAATTGTATATAAATTTACAAAGCCAACTTCCTTCTGGGAAAAATTATTCATTAAACAATTTTTGTAGTTTGTCCTAATGACAAGAGGTCCCTTTATACCCTGATTGGACATAATACATTAAAAATATTCTAAAACATTATGCATAGGACCTGGAATAAGAAATAAAAAGTTTTTTTGAGTTTTGAAATATAAAGTTTAAATTTAAAGCCCATTTTTCTTATTCCAGATAATATATTCTTAAAAAACATGTTTGGTATTTATTCTACTGAGAAATAAAAATAAGCTGCATCGTAGAAAGATATCAATTCTTTCGCTCAGTTACTTTTGAACCACATAACCCTTAATACATACTTGTTTCCGTGACACATGCCCCCTTACATCGGGTAGTTTAAAGACCCGACACTGACTCAGATTCCGCATTTATCAAGTTCACTGCGCCTGCTCTTTGTTGCGGAAACACACAATAAATGCTTGAATTTAACGCCATTAATTCACACACTGGGTAAGAACATTAACAACAACACTATAATTGAAAACTAAGCCATCCCAATTTACCTATAAGAGATGTATAAAATTTGATTATAGTTTGTAATCCATTTATTTTGCTTGCAAGTGCTATGGAATTTAAACATTTCGAAAACATTTTTACCAGTTGAAAAGTATCAGCAATGAAATGCCGTATTTTACATAAAAAAATATTTTACTTGCGTTTAAAAAATGTTTAATTGTGAATACACTGTTTTTAATTGCAAATAACTTCATTTATGATTAAATTAAATTTTTTACTAAATGTCATAATGAATGTTCACGTTTGTCATCGTTTGTTTAAAACAGGTTCTTGACAATAACTTATTGTTGTCAAAAATAACAACATAGGTAAATTTTACTATTATAGATTTCTTCTTGAGCCTCATTTGGGTTTTGCATTTTTAATAATAAAATAATAATAATAATAATTTGGCGAATGACGTTAAATCTAAAAAAAAAATATTTAATAGAAAGACTACAATTGTCAATTATTAGAAATTGAAAAATAGAAAATATTATTTTAAAATACTACAAACAAGTTGAAAGTTCCAACAATTATTCCAATATTGTGTGGATTGTGGATCACAATACATTAAACACAGTTAGAATAGCTAGAACTCTTGTTTAGTATAAAAATAAAGTGTTTATTTAAATTCTTAAATATTCTCAATCCGCTTAATAAAATATGGTAGGTAGTTAATTAAATAGCTTTTGACACATTTAAAAGGGTGACGATTGATATAAATCATATCGGGCTTGGGGTAAATAAAAATCATTACAATTACACGTTTGGTACTGAAGAATGTATTTCCTGAGGGGTAGAATCTGAGTCTTAAACGTTTATATTAGGAAATGTATAAGCCAGTGATACATTTATACAAGAGTGTGTGAATGGTATGCTCACCATGCATCTAATAACACTGGTCTGCAACAAAATCCTCCTTCAAAAAATTTCATCATATATAATGCTCTAAATTTGTTCCCGTTAGCCGATCACGTCTAGAATTTTTGATATGAATATTTTTTCAAAATATAACATTTTTTTTTTAATTCGTTGTATGCGTAAACATTATAAACAGTGTATATACATAGTTTTTTATGTGTAGTTTATGTAAAACTTAAGCCATAGTATTTTTTTCATTTTTTTGTAATTGTTGTTAGGTACTTTACTAATATCGTTTTTTTTTAAATGGACCTAATTTTTAAAATCGATGTGCTTTATTCATTTGCATGTTAAATTCCGTGTTTAGAGCACCAAATATAATGTTATCATGTATAAAAACAATGAGGATAAAAAAATATTTTTTTTTTGCAGAAGAGTGTAATTATTATAATCCTATTTTGGCACTTTAATATTGTTTCAGTGGCTCGGAATGAGCCCCAAAATATATTCCATTTAGTAGGTACCTATAATGTGTAAAATCATTATTTATTTGGCATTTAACTAAAATATGTTTTCTTATAAAAACGTTTTAACATAGGAAAATTCTCAATTTATATGTTGGCCTGTAATGTAAGCACCACAATCTCATGTACCATCTTCAGGTCTTATATGCAGGCGTTAAGGCACAAATTCGCATATATATTTAATTATAAATAATAAAATAAATTTGGTAAATGTTTACTTAACCCCTGAATACTATATCTGTAAGGAAGCTTTAACATCTAAAACGAGTTCAACACATGCTGTGTGAAACTTTCTTACCTTCAATCTTTATAAGTAGCATCTGACGCAAACAAAGTTTATGCGAAACACATACTTCCACAGTGTGGAAGTATGTGTGTCGAAATTCATGCATCACCATCTTGCGGTGTTCATAGAAATATGTAAATCAGTCTACACACACTCTTAGAAAAGACCTGGTATTTGTAACTAAATTATTATCGTTGGGGTAAAACTGTTGCAGAAAATAACATTTTTTGTTTTTTGTAATCAGTACCTTTATATGTGTAACTGCTTGCATCATTACCTGAAAAGATTTAGTTTTGTTGTGGAGTATTATTTACTGCAAAAAGGCGATTAAGTTATTTTAACTGAAACTTTGTGTTGGCTAGAAGTATTGACAACATTATCTCAAAAAAATCCTTTCGGCGGTAAAATGTTTTTGTTGGACCAAATATTTAAGTAACATTCTCAACTGACTGAAATTAGTCCGTGGAACTAACGGTTCGGTTGTATAAACTATGCGTCACTTTTCATACAGCTAAAACACCAGCGGTGTGAAACAAAGTGTCAGTTGGGGATGTTGTCTCTGTAGGTTAATGCAACTGCAAACTTTGTGCATTTCGCGCGCGATTTGTCCAGCCCGGCGCGTGCTTTACTTTTAACCTGTAAACAAACGGTGTTGCACGGCGTCCAGACGGTGGTGTTTGTTCTTTTGTATTTGTGTATCAGCTCGTGTGTTGTGTATATTTTAGGTAAGAAACTAGTTTATTACAAATAGTCATTTGCCCCTGTAAATTCAGTGGCGACATAATTTTTAACTATTCATATATATAAGAATATATTCTTATGTGTTGGTTACTTATAGATATCTCGAACAAATAATATGGATAAGCGGACTGAAGTACCTAGCAGATTTATTAGGAACATGGGGTTTACCTGAATTGGTTCCAGTTTTTAAAGGTTAGGTATTATTATTGCACTCCTTTAATTACACTATTGTAGTTTTGGGGTCCGAAAAAAAATTCAAAAATGTGAAAATGCCATACCGACTGAAAATGGCCTCCTGAATCCAATGGTGCCCACCAAAAGTCTCCATCACGTCGGAATTTCGAATTCTTACCCCTGTTATCATGCAAGTATGTTACGTTGTACCTAAGAATCATTGTTAAGTTGTTAAACAAAGGCTTGCACTTCACGTAAACATCACGGTTTATTGAAGAAGTATAGTCAACTTTCATCTTAATGTACCTATCTGTGTAGGTATATTTACCAAAGAATCGTTTTTGTTTTATTGTTAAAATATTTATAAATGTTTTCTTATAGTAATTATTAATTTTTGTTATAATGTTTAAACCAAAATTTGGTGTTTTCAGTTATATTGTTATTTTTTAATTTATAATAAATATTTATAAAACGAACGGGCATGAATTTCCTTTCTCTATTTTTTATAATATTTACACAAAAAGTGTTATATTTACTAAGCAGGTATGTACTGTGGAATAATACATATGTTGTTGCTACTAATGCAAGCATTTAATATTAAATATAACTTAGTTACAATACAAAACAAATTTATATTATATCAACTATTAAATTCTTTAAATGTACCTTTTTTCATGTAATTTCAATTAAAAAATAAATTCCTGCATGATACAATGTTTGTTGCGATAAATAGCAAGTGCAGTTGTTACAACTTAGACGCTGCTAAAATGACAGACTAATGTGATTGCATTAAATATCAATTATTTGTATGAAAAAAAAACTAATTTCGATGCACTTAAACTTGTTGGTTGGAGCTACCAATATTGGCTGTTCCGACAACAAACTGTAAAAACAAATTTGTATTAGTTCCCACAACATATTTTTTTGTTGTGCCTATTTTCACTAATAAAATTGGTTCTGGGAACTAAATTTTCATTGCAAATACCAGGTCTTTTCTAAGAGTGCATAGTTAGATAGATACCCTTTTATGTGAGACTGTTAAAATCAACGCCGGGTTTAAAACTTAGCTAAATAGGGTTTTTGGTCTTATTACGTACGTGCCTTATATGGGACAGGAACTTATTTAACATTATTATGCCTAAAAATGAACTAACGAAATCAAATACTTATATACAATATTTGACTGAATGAGGTATTTTCTTACAATGTTTCTAATAGAATGTAATTCCACTAAACACTAAATGTAATTTCACTAAACACTAAAACAAAACATCAATTAAGTTTCTTTCTTGGAAGTAGTAATGAAGATATAATCATTTTGTCTAAATAAACCCGATGGAAACATAAAATTTCGAGTGGCGTAGAAAAGCCATTATCATCAATTGTCTTACTGCGAGAAGAAGGAAAGTGATTGGTTGGGAAACAATACGAGAAAAGGTTTTAGGATGGTCACACATTTACGCCGGTAAGGCAACAGTTAAACGTAAGTTTACGTTTACGTTTTATGTGTTCGCGGAAATCCGTTAAAATGCTCGTTATTGGGATTGTTATGAGATATATTTTATGTATCTAAGTATGGTTATAGTAAATAAACCTTTAATTTTTTTTGTTTTGTTTAAAATATTTTTTTTTAATCAATAATTTAACAGTAGTCCAAATGTTAAAATATTTAACTCCTTTCTAATATTTAATTAAAAAGTTATTAAGATTTAGTTTATTTTTACTCCCACGACTTGACTGAAAGAAATTTTGTTTCAAATTTAAAAATCTATTATATTATGATCCTAGCATTATATCATAATCGATATGCCTTAAAAATGTATGTCCTAGTTTAGTTTGCACTCAAAATTTATTTTGATATTTGTCAAAATAAAGATTTTCATAATGTTATATTCTACACGGAAAAAAATTCCTTACTAGGTTTAAGAATAGTTCTATACTTCATATTAGGAACTTGATTTAAGTATATTTATTATTTCTATAAGATTAGCGTTCATTTAAACTAAGTAATGGGATATACTTAATTTTTAAGAAAAACGGTTACTTGATTTGAGATGAGTATTCTTGGATTAAGTTTAAAGGTATTTTATTTTAAAGAAAATTGGTATACTTAAATCAAATATACAATAATACTTAGATGAAAGAGCTCTAGTTTTTTACTCAAAGCGGAATATTGCCATTTATTTTGAGTATTCTGTATATTTGTATGAAATTTCGGTATACTTTATTTAA